CCACGTTAACACTTTCCCTCTACAAGATAAAAAAAACCCGAAATCAGACCCACATCACATTTTCCATTCAAAAGTATTATTCAATTATTATAGCAAAATAATTAATCAATTACGTCTTTCTGGAGACTTTTTTATAATCGGAAGCAGCCTCGTAGGTAGCCAAACGGGGGAGTTGTTTACACGTATGTTCTCCCAGATGGGTGACCTTAAAGAGTGCGCGACCTCTGTCCGATCTCTCAACACATTTACGGGCCAGACAACCCTCAGATTCATTGTTGGGACAACGAAAATATCCACTGCAATTTGCAAATGTAGCATGAATTAGATGGTGTACAAGCACAAAATTCCGAGAAATATGAAACCCCATTCATAATGCCCAATGGTGTAGATCGACTGAACTTCGACACTGTTTTGTAGTCCTTGCAAGATTAAGCATTTCTCAAATTCACTTGCTATCTTCTCTTATCTTTTGTATATGCTGTGAGTTCGATTTCTGAATTAAAGAAAAAAATATATATATATATTCATTTGAATGTTAAGTATTGGGTGTGTGATTCCTAATACCTTATCGTTGGATATTTGAAACCAAGATCTTCACTCTGCGCAATTTTTCTCCAGCTGTATCCATCAAGACGAGCAATAGTCCACATTAACGCTGCCTCTCTGTAAGATCAAAAAACCCAAAATTGGAGCCCGATCACATTTTTCATTCAAAAGTATTATTCAATTATTATAGCAAATTAATTAATCAATTACATATTTCGGGAGAAAACTCTATAATCGGATGAGTCATCCTCGGTGGTGTCCGCAGCTTCGCCAGTATACAAATCGGAGAATTGTTTACACGTATGGCTTCTCAGATGGATGACCTTAAAGAGTGTGGGATCTTCGTCCAATCTCTGAACTTGCTTACGGGCCGTACATCCCTCGGACCTATGGTGTTTACACCTAAAAAATTCCCTGCAATTTGCAAATGTACCGTGAATATATTATATTTAGAAAAGTGATAATATATGTTGTACTGGTAAAAGGAAATAAAATAATACAGTTTACTCCATTAGAGAGTAATCTATAATTTTCTGTATGCGCTTCATAGATATATCCCAAGGGCTAAGGCACAAAGTAGTGCAAAAATCCAAGAAAAATGAAATCCATGATGCCCACAAGTGAATAGTAATTGAACTTAGACACTGTTTTGTAGTCATGGTAAAATTCAGCTTTTCTCAAATTCAGTTGTTCTGTTCTTTATCTTTTCGATAAGCTGTGATTTTGTTTTCTGGATTAAAGTAGAGAAAAAAGAAAAAAGAAAGGTTCTAACCTTGGATATATGGAACCAGCAATAGCTTTCTGCTCATATTTTTTCCACCAGTATCCATCATCATAAGCTGTTTTTGTTTTTGTTTCTCTGATATTTACAGCAAAATAAGTTGTAGCAATCCAATTTGACGCTGTATTTCTGCAGGATCAAAAAACCATAACCCGAAATCAGAACCGGATCACATTTTCCATCCTAAAAGAATGAATTAGCAAATTAATGAATTACCTCTCTCCGAGGACATCCTCACTAACGGAAGCGTCGCTATGCTTGACCAATTTGGGTAGTGGATGAACCGAGGGTCTAGTGCGAAGTTTCTTCACATAGAAACGAAGTATTTCCTCTCCTGGAAAGAGCTGCAATTCAGGAGATAAGGAAGGATTGAGATGGCTCTGGAGCTGCTTAAAGATATCTTTCTCTTCTGGTAGGTCATCCCAAGGGCTCCACTGATTCAAATCCACATATGGTAGGTCATTCCGATCCCACCGCAGCTCCAAATCCGTATACTTTTCCATTTACAGTATGCACCAAGATCCAAGATTCCTGAAATATATTGTTCAAGAAAGAAAATTGAAGCAACGCTAGATTATGTTCAGAAGATCAAATTCCGAGCAAGGATGATATAAAGGTGAAGAAGGAAGAGTGGAGGGAACGTTTGAGCTTAGAGGAGATGGGGGAAGAGAGACGCGGAATTGAGATGGAAAAGGGGAGGATTCTTTGCTTGGAAAAAATTACGTAAATAAAACCTTATATAATATCTTTGGATGCTATCTTGGCCTTGTCCATGTGAACTATATATGTCTGCTGCTCGTTGATCGATGTAGCAGTTGAAGTTTGTTGCCATCAAGACTAGCATCATCAGCAAAGCCATTCTGAAGATCATGATGACTGTAAACATTTCAAACAAGAAAAATAGACCAAGTTATCATATCGATAAAATCATCAACTTCGCGTCAAATTAATGCAGATGAAAATAGTGAGGGGGTAAA